TTTCTGTGGTTGATTTGTGATGGGAGGAGAGGCATGATTAAGTGGGTGGAGAGTTGCAGTGGAGAGTCCCTGAAGATAAAATTCTGAGTGATTTTGTGCCCTGATATATTAGTAGGAGCTGAGTGAAGGTGAATGCCATCTGGGAAGGAGATAATTGCTTTCATGCCTTACAAAGTTTTCAAGTGAGGAAATTAATTAGTCCCTTGTGAGCCAGTACAAAAAAAAAACTTTTCAGGTGGAGAAAAATGTTTTCCTAGTTTAGAGATGATTTCCAACACTTACACATGCTCAAAGATGGAGAAATCTCCACCTTACTGTCCAGTGTCACTTGGAGACACCTCTTAATTAAGGGTTAAACAGTTATATATTTGCTAGAGATCGACATCCATAAGTTGTGTTTCTATGATGTGTTCATGTGTAAACATGCATGCACGTGCCCACACACTGGAGTGTAACCAGTCTCTCCACCTCCAGTGCGACACCAGCAACCTTGATCAGAGGGTAGCCCTGCTCTGTGAGATCTGTGTTACAGATTGTGAGGGGTGCCTCTTGTCCAGTTATAGTGAAATGGCATTAACTTTGGAAGTGACCTAGCTTGGTTCCTTGAGCTATTTAGGACCTATTTATAACTGTTCTTTTTTCTACTTTCCTAATCCTGACCCTTTTTCCAAGCTCAGTCTAGACCAAGAAAACAGGATATTTTCCAAGGCTCTGTGATCTGAGCTATTCAAACAAGCATCCTCCCCATGACTCCCTAAGCAAAAGAGAGAGCTCAGAGAAGGCATCTCTCCTAAATCTGCCCTTTTTTCGACCCTTATTCCTCTCTCTTCACCAAAACACAGCCCTAGCTCATTCTTCCTCTAGTCCACATTGGACCATGTGCACTCTAAATGAATGCCCTAATAAGTCCAGGGCCAGTGGTGCCTGGGTGGCTCAGTCAGTGAAGCTTCTGATTCTTGGTTTTGGCTTAGGACATGATGTCATGGTTTGTGAGATTGAGCCCCACGGCAGGCTCTGTGCTGACAGAGTCTGCTTGGAATTCTCTCTCTCCTCTCTTTCTCTCCCCCACCCCTCTCTCTTTCTCTCTCAAAATAAATAAATAAAAATTAAAGAGAATAAGTCCAGGGCCAGAAGATAGGGGAGAAAGCATCGGGGAGGACCAAGGTAACTGACAAGCAGACAACTAACCCTTCCTTTAAGATGCTACGGTTAAGTTCTAGAGAAAAGAAGAAATAAGTAGCCTGACTTTCTGTTTATGATCAACTGATCATCCATTTTACCTTCCTCCCCTAACTATATTAAGAGGCATTATGAGAATACAAAAAAATAAGGTAATTAACAGGGGCAAAGAGAATGTGGAAAATGGTACGATGGATGATATTTTGTGAATTATTTTTGATGAGGGGAAGCAGAGAGAAGTGTTTCCAAAGTAACAAGACTATGTAATACAAATGAAGTTTTTGCAAAGGAAACAATAACAGCAGCCCCCCCCCACCCCCCACCCCCGCCAGCAATTGCGTTTTCTCAACAGAACTGTTAAAAGGATCTACCGTGGAAGGTGGGGGTGAGGAATTGAAATGGGGGTATTGGTTAAAAGTTTGTTTATACAGCCATTGGGCACCAACAGTCCCTTGCATTTTCTGAGTACCAAGGAAGTATCTGTTTCACAGACAGGGTGCTGCTTATCTCACTTTGCCAAGGGCTGTCCCAGTTTTATTTTTTTATTAAAAAAATTTTTTTTAACATTTATTCATCTTTGAGAGAGAGAGAGAGACAGAGCATGAGTGGAGAAGGGGCAGAGGGAGGGAGACACAAAATCTGAAGCAGGTTTCAGGCTTCTGAGCTGTCAGCACAGAGCCTGACATGGGGCTTGAACCCATGAGCTGCAAGATCGTAACTGAAGCCGAAGTCAGACGCTCAACCTACTGAGCCACCCAGGCACCCCAGGGCTGTCCCAGTTTTAAAATGGCAAGTGCCACATCCTGGGAGCTCCCCGTGTCGGCTGGCTACCCAGGCTACCCAGTTCGCTCTATGGACCTTCCACAACCCCCCCCCCCCCCCACCGCCAATAGCTGGAAGAGACAAGACTTTATTGTCATTAAGAAGAATTGAACTGGGAAAGTTCCAGATTTTAGGACCACAGGTATAAAATGTATGGCTTAAAACAAATGACCTTGCAAGTGCCGCAAACACTGATTTCACAGTTAAAAATAAACTTCAGCGAGTAGATGAATTTACAAGTATGGAATCTGTGAATGAGGAGGAATGACTATCATTCTCTTATTGATGGGTGTTTATTTTTTGTCAGTTGTTATAATGAATTAAACCGCTGTGAACATTTTTTTTAATTTTTATTAAAAAAATTTTTTTACACATTTATTTATTTTTGATAAAGACAGAGCACAAGTGGGGGAGGGGCAGAGAGAGAAGGAGACACAGAATCTGAAGCAGGCTCCAGGCTCTGAGCTGTCAGCACAGAGCTATTTGTTGGCCACTTGGTTTTTGGCAAGTGTCTTGGAATCATTTGCGGTGTTTTCTGCTTACGGGTCGCTCAGCCTCTCGCAGGACTAATTGGAATGAGGTAGTGGCACAAAACAGAGCAGGGGTTGGCTGTTTAGGGCTCAGACTATCTGATGATTACCAGGACTTGAGGTCTGGGTACAAGGCAGCCTGGGTGTTAAGAAACTCCTGACTAGGAGATTCCAAGTTTGTAATGACCTACATCATTACGCAAAACTTGCCCATGTTCTAAAAACTTGATTATCCTCAGGAGGGAAGGGTGAAAGTTTTTCTGGCTTTTCCTTGACTGCATCCCCAGGGTTTCTCTGAACTTGACAAATGTAGTTTCTTAGAGAATAACTCCCCTTGGGGATAGACAGTAGAAGGAAAGAAGGAGAGAGAGAGAGAGACAGAGGAGACAATAGGGCTTCCACAGCACTGTTATCACTGGACTTTTCCTTAAGTGCTCATATGAAGACAGTTTTCTCTTGCACTGAGAGTGAGGACAGCAGCAGCTTTCCCTGGGCCACAGAGCATGCTCTGCCCTAGTCAGGCAGGAGGTAGCCTGGGCTGATCCCTGGAGAGCTGTAGGATTTTCCAGGTCAGTCTCTTTCTCTAGAGGTGAATGTCTGCTCGGGGCTCCCCTCTGCGAAGGAGAGTAAGAGAGGATCAGCATGGGAAGTTCTGGGCTTCATTGCTGTCTAAAATGAGGACACCTTCCCTGGAGCATGAACAGTAGGCTAGGGGAGCCGCATAATGGAGGAGCTCAAATCAAATCCTCCCTCCACAGCAGAGAGCATATTCAGCTCTTTTCGGTACTTGTGATAGACACATCTCTCTGCTATGACCTAAGAATCTGCTCTCTCATTTGTCCTTATTTCTTGTTTTTGTAATCTGGCCATTGTGTAGGGGATCTCCAGGGAGAGGACCACAGCTTGACCAGACAATGCCTTAGTAAAGAGTGAAGAGAGACTATTTTACAACAACAGGAAGACTATTTTACAACAAGAGGAAAAGCAGATCAGGGTGGATAGTTTTTGCTCATTCACTGACATATTTGAACAAATGTTTTGAATAAATATTAAAAGAGCACATACTTACCCTGTGTCAGACTCTGTTCTTGGCACTGGAGATGTGAGAGTGAACAAGAAAGACAAAAGTGCTTCAATATCAGCTATTGATGAGAGCCAGTAAGAAGAAAATCCCACCAAATAAGAGGGTAAAATGTGAGGCACTTTTGCTGTTTTAGAGAGGATGATTGGAGAGGGCCCATGGGTTGGAGACATTTGAGCAATGACCTGCATGTGTGAGGGAAGGAGCCCAGATTTACTGACCAGATCAGTGTGAGCCTTTTGGGTGTTTTCTGACACTTTTCCATATTTGTAGGTCTCTGGAGAAAACAGGAGGACACAGCAGATAGTCTCTGGGGACTTCTCCAAGGTTCTCTATAGGATGCAGACCATGGCTGGTTGGAAATAGACACAGACTGCCTTTTGGGAGGTCTTATCTCCTTGCTGAAACTAGAGATTTGAGACATGGGGAAGGCAGAGGGTGTTGCTTGTTTTCTTGTCCCCTGGTGCCAGGGTGGAGATTATACAGGACAGATGGGAGTTGGGGATAAAAGTCCCAGCCCCCTCTTTACTCCTCTGGACCCCTACTCCCTGGTGTCCTCTGGTGTCAGAAGGAACAATCTCAGAGCTACAAGTTTCCAACTGGAAGCTAATGAGGTTCTTCCTACCAGGAAGAACAGTCGCCGAAATGAGAGACAGAGATAGCATTCATGATAAGAATAAGGAGGAAAAAAGTGGATAATCCACTTCAGAGAGTCAGCTCCCCAGAAGTCAGGGAAAGACTCCGTGCTTTGTTTCAAAATAGCTGTTATCTTATGACAGTTTTCTGGGTAGACCCACCACCCTGTCGGCTGGCTCTACTGATGGGCTCAAATGATGATACAGGTAGCCGAAGCAAGAACTGTAAGTGAACAGAAGTTAAATGGAGCCCACATTCAGAGGAGATGAAGGAAATATGTAAACGTATCTGGGTGGGATTGGTAAGGTTTTGTAGGACATGGACGTAAGAGGCAGAGAAGAAATCGTAGGGCATTTAGGGTGGAAGCATTGGTGGCATAAATGAACACACTGTGGTCAGAAACTGGACAGGGTGGCAGGTCAGAGCAGAGATGGAGGCAGGATGATGATGAATTGAAAGACAAGAGTGCCTACAGGGGTGGGTGGGCTTTCAAGCCTAGGCTGTGGTGTTAGTGACTATTGCTCATCTTCTTGCATATATATGTTTATTTTTGTATGTATTTTCTTCATAAAACATTCAACATCAACCTTGTACAGCAAATAGTGGAAGATGAACCCACTTGGTCATGATGCAGCCTAAGAGCAGAGATGATATTTCCTCCACCTGGGAATAGCTTTAGTCCTGTGAAATTAGAAGGCTGTGAACTCTCCTTTGTTCCCTAGATTCCATAAAGAGCAAGAGCACAGGACTAAATGTTGAAGAATTATTCTAGCGCCACTGAATTTTATCTACTTGGCTTCCATGGCTCCAAAGAACTGCACGATATTCTTTTTGCCACTTTCTTCTTTCTCTACTCAGTGACAGTCATGGGGAACATGGTCATCATTGTGATTGTCTGTGTTGATAAACGTCTGCAGTCCCCCATGTATTTCTTCCTTGGCCACCTCTCAGTCCTAGAGATCCTGATCACATCAGTTGCTGTCCCCTTAATGCTCTGGGGGCTGCTGCTTCCAGGGATGCAGGCAATGTCTTTGACAGCCTGTCGTGCACAATTATATTTGTACCTTTCTTTGGGTACGTCGGAGTTAGTATTAATTGGAGCAATGGCTGTGGACCGTTATGTGGCTGTCTGTAACCCTTTGAGGTACAACATCATTATGGACAGCCACACCTGCATCTGGGTGGTCATTGTGTCATGGGTGTTTGGGTTCCTATTTCAAATCTGGCCAGTCTATGCCACATTTCAGCTTACCTTCTGCAAATCAAATGTGATAGACCATTTTTTATGTGACCGAGGGCAACTGCTCAAACTATCCTGTGATGATAGCCTTTTCACAGAGTTTATCCTTTTTTTAATGGCTGTATTCATTATTGTTGGTTCTATGATCCCTACAATCATCTCCTACACCTACATCATCTCTACCATCCTCAAGATCCCCTCAGCCTTGGGCCGGAGGAAAGCTTTCTCTACTTGTGCCTCTCACTTCACCTTTGTTGTGATTGGCTATGGTACCTGCTTGTTCCTCTATGTGAAACCCAAGCAAACGCAGGCAGCTGAGTACAACAGGGTAGCGTCACTGATGGTTTTAGTGGTGACCCCTTTCCTGAACCCATTCATCTTCACCCTCCGGAATGACAAATTCATAGAGGCCTTTCGAGATGTCATGAAACGCTGCTATCAACTCCTCAAGGATTAGCTGTGTCCTAAGGACAATAATGAACTCATCATCATGGACCTGAGTAATCTTAAAACACTAATTCAACCTGAAATGATCATTTTCATCATCAAATAGTTTGTGATGCACAAAAGAATTGTAAAAATTTTTCATAGGAATTTTAAAACATGGCTGGTTCTCCAATTTATAATTAGATGATTCCTACATGAGAGATCACATTATTATTTTTTAACTGGATATATATGTTTATACACTCTTCTATATGTATGATACATCTTACAATATAAATTTAACAGGTGTAAATGTACAAAATATGGGGTTTTTTTAGAACTCTGAACTCTGACTGGGAAAAGCAAGGAAAAGCATAATTCACTCCATGGTCGCTGAGCTATGTGTTTGATTCTAGGTACTAGGGTCATTTTCCCATATTTTGTCCTGTGATTTGATGATATTTTCGCTGCCTAAAGACCTTCTGTTTCTTCTGTAAGTGACAAGTCCAGCCTCATGTACAACCTTTTCCTGAGGTTCCTGCTCCAACGTTGAACAGGGACAGTACCTCCCTGTGGTTCTCAACTGACAGTTGTGAGAGTGAACTCACTCCATAGTCCTGACACCTCCCAACCTCAGGGCTAAATGTGTGTTAATTCAGGCACATCTACAATTGGTAGACTTTCTCAGAGTGAAGAGGGAGGGTTTTGGAAAGAAGTATTTTCTCATCTGTCATTGACTCTCATTATAACACCAGCCCCAAATGTGGGAAGGGAACTGGCTAGTTTTGGGAATTGAAGTGACAAGGGTGAGCTGATCTTGCTGTGTCCCTGGGCTGAAGCAGGTGTGCATGGAGGGCAGAAAAAGGGCAGCTCCTGGTCACTTCTCCCCATAGTCCTCACATTGGTCAATCCTGACACTGGGCATTCCATCTCCCTTCTCTCTCAGCTACATTTCTAGGTTCCCTTCCTCCTCCCCCCCTCACAAGGACCAACTTTGCCAAGCTGTCTTCCAACTCTACAGTGAGTTTCCTCGTCCGCATCTCAATTCCTTTATTGTCCCATCCTGGCCTCTCTCCTTTTACACCACCATTGTCAATATTTCTGCCATTCTTATGTGGCTAAGCAGGGGTCAAAAGACTGTGCACATGAAACTTCCTTCCCAACATTATACATGTATGTTGTGAACTCACTGAAGGGACTGGGAAAAAAGAATGTGACATACATAACTGAAAAATAGTGTTTTGACTGGAATCTGTAAGACTAAGAGTGGAACTGAGCAAGATCATAATAGTATTGTTAATAAAGTTGTTTCCCACTGAGAGTATGAGTTAACAATTCTGCAATTGCCATACCTGTATACTACAGGTTAACAAATAAAGATAACAACTGGTGGGAGCCAGGTCTGTCACTGTGGATGGGTATGTTACAGAGAAGCAAGAGGAGAAGGCTAGAATTAGCCATGTGGCACTGGATTCAAATTGGTGCATCAGTGTGCACGCATATTAGAAGATTATATGTATGTAGGTGGGTTGATTAATATATGATATAAATAAATGATATGAAAAATGACTTCTTTTTCATAACTATTTTGGCTGTTCTCTTGTCATTCTCTTTCCATATAAATTTAGGAGTCAGTTTGTAGATATCTACAAAATGCTTGCTGGGCTATTGATTGGGACTGTGTTCAATCGTTAGTTAGATTATTAAAACGCTGAGATCTAGGACTCCTTGCATTTGTATATGATTGTAAATTTTCTGCCTGACCATGGGGTTGAGTAGGGGTTCTTTGACGGTAAGAGGTCAATCCCTCTTCTTTCCTCCCTCTCACGTACTTGTTCTCTATGGCTCTTTTCAAATGTAGGCAAATATTTGTCTTTCTTCTGTGACATTAGGCTTGCTCCTGAATCTTTCACTGGCACACACCAATGGCTTGACCTTTACATTTTATACCTTTATATTGTGTCGGTACCATTGTACAAAAGTGTCTCATAGGCTTTACAACTCCTCAGAGGCCATTTACGTGTATCAGGCCATCCTAGTCTATTAGAGTCCTCCTCCATTTTTCCTGCAACCTCCATCCCTCCAGTCCAACGAGCCAGTATTGTTTCTGAGCACTGTGCCTGATGTCATCTGTCCCTCTCAGGGGCACCACCAGTAGTCAGAAACTGTTCCTTATTATAGATTCTGAATCAGGGCCGCTGCCCCAATCCTGGAGATTTTCCTGTTCACATGCTGTATGTGAACACTTGCTTTTATACTGAAACATTCATATAGCTTGGTATTAATAATTCTTAAGACTGCAAAGCAAGAGGGAACAGAAGCTTTATTCACAATCATAGCAGCATTCCTTACAATTGCCAAAAAGTGGAAGTGACCCAAAAGCCTCTCCACAGATGAGGAAACAGATGAATGTATAAACAAAAGGTGGTATATGCGTACAATGGAATTTTATTCGGACTTAAAAAACAACGGAATTCTGATACATGCTGTCATATAGATGACCCTTGAAAATATTGCTAAATGAAAGAAAGTGAATATAAAAGGGAAAATATTGTATGTTTCCGTTTATGTGAGGTACCTAGAATAGTCCAGTTCCTAGAGACAGAAAGTAGAATAGTGAGCAGCAGGGGTTGGGGAAAGAGGAAATGGGAGTTACTAATTAATGGCGGGCAAGAGTCAGTTTAGGATGGTAAAGCGTTCAGGAGTTGGAGGGTGGTGATGGTCGCACAATAATGTGAGTGGACTTAATGCTACTGAATTGTACACTTAAGATGGTTAAAAATGGCAAAACTGTGTTATATATTTTTTACCACATTAAAAAAGAAAAAAATATTAAATAATTCTAAATGATTTTTTATGATGAATCATCAGAGCTTTGATCCCCTCTTTGTTTTTTTTTCCAATTTTTTATTTTTTATTTTTTTATTTTTATTTTTTTCAATATATGAAGTTTATTGTCAAATTGGTTTCCATACAACACCCAGTGCTCATCCCAAAAGGTGCCCTCCTCAATACCCATCACCCACCCTCCCCTCCCTCCCACCCCCCATCAACCCTCAGTTTGTTCTGTTTTTAAGAGTCTTATGCTTTGGCTCTCTCCCACTCTAACCTCTTTTTTTTTTTTTTCTTCCCCTCCCCCATGGGTTTCTGTTAAGTTTCTCAGGATCCACATAAGAGTGAAACCATATGGTATCTGTCTTTCTCTGTATGGCTTATTTCACTTAGCATAACACTCTCCAGTTCCGTCCACGTTGCTACAAAGGGCCATATTTCATTCTTTCTCATTGCCACGTAGTACTCCATTGTGTATATAAACCACAATTTCTTTATCCATTCATCAGTTGATGGACATTTGGTCTCTTTCCATAATTTGGCTATTGTTGAGAGTGCTGCTATAAACATTGGGCTACAAGTGCCCCTATGCATCAGTACTCCTGTATCCCTTGGGTAAATTCCTAGCAGTGCTATTGCTGGGTCCTAGGGTAGGTCTATTTTTAATTTTCTGAGGAACCTCCACACTGCTTTCCAGAGTGGCTGCACCAATTTGCATTCCCACCAAGAGTGCAAGAGGGTTCCTGTTTCTCCACATCCTCTCCAGCATCTATAGTCTCTTGATTTATTCATTTTGGCCACTCTGACTGGCGTGAGGTGATATCTGAGTGTGGTTTTGATTTGTATTTCCCTGATGAGGAGCGACATTGAGCATCTTTTCATGTGCCTGTTGGCCATCTGGATGTCTTCTTCAGAGAAGTGTCTATTCATGTTTTCTGCCCATTTCTTCACTGGATTATTTGTTTTTTGGGTGTGGAGTTTGGTGAGCTCCTTATAGATTTTGGATACTAGCCCTTTGTCCGATATGTCATTTGCAAATATCTTTTCCCATTCCATTGGTTGCCTTTTAGTTTTGTTGGTTGTTTCCTTTGCTGTGCAGAAGCTTTTTATCTTCATAAGGTCCCAGTAATTCACTTTTGCTTTTAATTCCCTTGCCTTTGGGGATGTGTCGAGTAAGAGATTGCTACGGCTGAGGTCAGAGAGGTCTTTTCCTGCTTTCTCCTCTAAGGTTTTGATGGTTTCCTGTCTCACATTCAGGTCCTTTATCCATTTTGAGTTTATTTTTGTGAATGGTGTGAGAAAGCGGTCTAGTTTCAGTCTTCTGCATGTTGCTGTCCAGTTCTCTCAGCACCATTTGTTAAAGAGACTGTCTTTTTTCCATTGGATATTCTTTCCTGCTTTGTCAAAGATGAGTTGGCCATACGTTTGTGGGTCTAGTTCTGGGGTTTCTATTCTATTCCATTGGTCTATGTGTCTGTTTTTGTGCCAATACCCTTTGATCCCCTCTTTGATTCTCTTCACACTCTTCAGAGGTGACTGTGTTCAACTGTTTCTACTGGGATATATAAATAATATACTGACATTTTGTGATTTATCAAGTTGTTTTTTCTTTAGTTAATCACCTTATTTTTAAATTTTGATCAAATATTCATCCTGTTTTTTCTTCTTGTTTACCCTTACAGATACCATAAACCTAACAATAAATTATTCCTTGTGCTTTGTGCTCCATAGGTCTTCTTACTTGGTGTGCTTCTAAGTTTTGATGGGACAGATTTTCCAGCATCCCTCTAACAGAGAACTCATAAAAGGTAAGCTATTTTGGATGTTTTTATTCCAGCTTCATACTTCATTGTCACTTTGGTCAGATGAAAACACCCACACACCAGCCACTGGGGATGCCTTGGCTGCAGATCCCCCAGCATCTAATGTACCTCACCCTGGTGCCCAGACCCAAAGGCAGCTTGGATGAGCTTTGGGCACAGGCTATTGAACACGCCCAGAAACTTACCCAGAATCTGTAGGCCAAAGAGAGACCACAAATGTGAGCATTAGCTCTTTCCTTTGGGAAAGCTAAAGGGAGGTTTTCAGCACCTGGCCTGGTGCATTACATGATCTAGAAGACAAACAAGCTGAAGAATTCACCAAGAGAGGGCTCAAGAAACAAGTGTATCCATACAAGTCCTGAGAAAGCCTCTGAATCACTAGAATCACTCAGAATCAGTAGCCTAGCCTGGCTGATAGTAGGTCTTGTTCTTCTGAAGCCAGTCACTAATTTAATCTGATCCATTAATGAGAAATGAAATATTATTCAACCATAAAAAAGAAGAAAATCCTGTCATTTGCTAACAACATGAATAGCAAAATAGTAACATGGATAAATCTTGAGGGCATTATGCCAAGGGAAATAGATCAGACAGAGGAAGACAAATATTGTATATTTTCCCTTATATGTGGAATCTAAAAAAGCCAAACTCCTAGGAATAGAGAGTAGACTGGTGGTTACTAGGGGCTGGGGAATGAGGGAAATTTGGAGATGTTGCTTGTAACTCTTATAAGTTATAACTCCCAGTTGTAAGATAGGTAAGTTTGTGGATCTAATGTACAGCATGGTGACTACAGAACTATGCTACATTGTATACTTGAAAGTTACTAATAGAATAGATATTATGTCCTCACCATGAAATAAAAAGTAATTTTGTGAGGGGACAGATGTGCTAACTAAATTTATTATGGTAATCAGTTCACAGCATATATGTATATCAAATTATTCATATTTGCATAATTACATGAGGAAAAGTCTGGAAGTCAAGGTAGGTAACTGATTACCAACTGGGCTATTAGGAGTAGGAGTGAAAGAAGTATTTCTTATTGAATAACCTTTTATATTGTTTTGGTGTGTGTTTCATGAGAATGTATTACCAATGAAATTCTATATTATCAATTTAAAAATAAAAGCATAAGAGACTCTTAAAAACTGAGAACAAACTGAGGGTTGATGGGGGGTGGGAGGGTGGGGAGGGTGGGTGATGGGTATTGAGGAGGGCACCTTTTGGGATGAGCACTGGGTGTTGTATGGAAACCAATTTGACAATAAATTTCATATATTGAAAAAAAAATAAAAGAAGTAAAATTATTGTGTGTTTTTCCAATGTCTTTGAGTCATACTAATTAAACGCTAGCTTTCAATTGCCAGGAAGGTTTGATTGTTTATGAGGATATCTCATTATTTTTAGCAAATGAGTATTTACTTAAGTCCATATACTCTGTAAAGTTTCTGTTTAGCTGAAGGTAGAAAATGGGAGAACAGTAGGGGAGAAGGGATGGAGTTTCACATTTTTCTACTTGGGCCTTTGGTTACTTTGTCATGACATTCAGGGGTTCTTCAGATATTGAGCACACGTATCTGATATTATCTTACATGCACATTGGAAATACCTTTTATCAGTCTAGCTTTTCTATTCGTTAAAAAAAATTCAATTCCAGCATGGCTAACGTGCAGCGTTATGTTTCAGGTGTACAATATAGCGATTCAACAGTTCTATACATTGCTCAGTGCTCATGAAGGTTAAGTGTGCTCTCAATCCCCATCCCCTATTTCACCCATCCCCCTACCCACCTCCCCTTAGGTAGCCATGTTTGTTCCCTATAGTTAATAGTGTATTTGTTGGTTTGTCTAATTTTTTCTTCGTTTGTTTGTTTTATTTCTTACATTCCATATGTGAGTGAAATCATACAGTAATTGTCTTTCTCTAACTTATTTCACTTAGTATAATACATTTTAGTCTTTAGATCCATCCATACTGTTGCAAATGGCAACATTTCATTCTTATGGCTGAGTAATATTTCATTATATATATTGAATATATATATACACACATTATATACACACACGTATACATACACACACACACACACACATATATATCCATTTGCTTATCGATGGACATTTGGGTTGTTTATGTAGTTTGGGTATTTCAGTAATGCTATAATAAACATAGGGGTGCATATATCTTTTTGAATTAGTGTTTTGTATTCTTTGGGTAAATACCTAGTTTACTGGGTTATATGGCAATTCTATCTTTAATTTTTTGAGGAACGTCCGTACCTTTTCCGCAGTGGCTGCACCAGTTTGCATTCTCACCAACAGTGTGAGAGGGTTCCTTTTTCTCCACATCCTTATCAACTCCTTACCAACAATTCAGCAGGTTGTCTTTGTTTTCTTGTGTTTCTGATTTTAGCCATTCTGACAGGTGTGAGGTGATAACTCATTGTAGTTTTGATTTGAATTTCCCTGATGATGAGTGATGTTGAGCATCTTTTCATGTGTCTGTTGACCATCCATATGTTTTCTTTGGAGAAATGTCTGTTAATGTCTTCTGCCCATTTTTAATTTTGTTTTTTGGGTGTTGAGTTGTATCAGTTCTGTATACATTTTGGAAAGTAACCCTTTATTGGGTATGTCATTGCAAATATCTTCTCCCATTCAGTAGGTTGTCTTTTTGCTTTGTTGAGTGTTTCTTTTGCTATGCAGAAGCTTTTCATTTCAGTATAGTTCCAATTCTTTATTTTTGCTTTTGTTTTCCTTGCTTCCGGAGACACATCTGGAAAAATGTTTCCACTGATGTCAGAGAAATGACTGCCTGTGCTCTCTCCTAGGATGTTTATGGTTTCAGGTTTCACATTTTGGTGTTTCACCCATTCTGAGTTTATTTTTGTTTATGGTGTAAGAAAGTGGTCCAGTTTCATTCATTCTTTTTGCATGTTGCTGCCCAGTTTTCCCAACGCCATTTGTTGAAGAGACCGTCTTTCCCATTCATGTTTTTGCCTCCTGTGTCAAAGATTAATTGACCTGTAAGTGTTGGTTTATTTCTTGTTTCTCTATTGTGTTTCCTTGATTATGAGCCTGTTTTTGTGCCAGTATTGTACTGCTTTGATCACTACAGCTTTGTAGTATATCTTGAAATCTGAGATTGTGTTAATACCTCCAGTTTTCTTCTTTTTTCAACATTACTTGGGCTATTGAGGGTCTTTTGTGGCTCCATATAATTTTTAAGATTATTTGTTCTAGTTCCATGAAACACGCTGTTGGTATTTTGGTAGGGATTGCAGTAAAGCTATAGATGGCTTTGGGTTGTATGGACATTTTAATAATATTTATTCTCCCAATCCACGAGCATGGATATCATTGCACTTGTTTGTATCCTATACAGTTTCTTTCATCAATGTTTTATAGTTTTCAGAGTACAGGTCTTTTACCTCCTCAGTTAAGTTTATTCCTAGGTTTCTTATTATTTTTGGTGCAATTATAAACGGGATTGGTTCCTTGATTTCTCTTTCTGTTGCTTCATTAATGGTGTATAGAAAAGCAACAGATTTTTGAATGTTGATTTTGTATTCTGTGACTTGACTAAATTTGTGTATCTGTTCTAGCAACTTTTTGGTGGAGTTTATTGGGTTTTGAATTTAGAGTATCATGTTATCTGCAAAAAGTGAAAGTCTAATTTCTACCCTGTTGATTTGGATGCCTTTAATTTATTTTGTTGTCTGACTGCTGAGGCTAGGTATTCCAGTACTATGTGAAATAACAGTGGTGAGAGTGGACATCCCTGTCTTGTTCCTGACCGTAGGGGAAAGCTCTCACTTTTTCCCCATTGAGGATGTTGTTAGCTGTGGGTTTTCCATATATGGACTTTATTTTGTTGAGGTATGTCCCTCTAAACCTACTTTGTTGAGGGTTTTTATCATGTATTTTACTTTGTCACATGCTTTTTCTGCATCTATTGAAATGATCATATAGTTTTTATCCTTTCTCTTATTGAAGTGATGTATCATGTTGATTGATTTGTGAAGATTGAACCACCTTGCATCGTAGGAATTTGTCCCACTTGATCGTGGTGAATGACTTTTTAAATTATTTAAATCATTGGCTTCTGTTTGTTAATATTTTTGTGGGGATTATCACATCTATGTTCATCAGCAATATGGGTCTGTAGTTCCCTGTTTTTTGTAGCATCTTTTAAAAAGTTTATTTATTTTTGAGAGAGGGGGAGGGCAGAGAGAGAGGAGACAGAGAATTATAAACGTGGAGCCTGATGCGGGGCTCAAACTCATGAACCATAAGATCATGACGAGCTGAAATCAAGAGTTAGGCCCTTAACTGCCTGAGCCACCCAGGAGCCCCTTTTATAGTGTCTTTATCTGGGTATTTATTATTATTGGGTAATGCTAGCCTCATAGAATGAATTTGGAACCTTTCCTTTCTCTGCTATTATTTGGAATAGTTTGAGAAGATTAAGTTTTCTTTAAAGTTAATTTTTTTTAAGTTCATTTATTTTGAGAGAGAGATAGAGTGAGTAGGGGAGGGACAGAGAGAGAGAGGGAGGGAAAGATTCCCAAGCGGCCTCCATGCTGCTAGCACAGAGCCCAACACAGGGCTCAAACTCATTTAAGCCCTGAGATCATGACCTGAGCCGAAATCAAGAGTCAGATGCTTAACCAACTGAGCTGCCCAGGTGTCCCATGTCTTCTTTACATTTTTTGTTCAATTCGCTTGTGAAGTCATCTGGTCCTGGACTTTTGTTTGTTGGGATTTTTTTATTTTATTACTTATTCAATTTTGTAGCTGGTAATCAATGTGTTCAAGTTTTCTATTTTTTCTGGATTCAGTTTTGGAAGGTTATGTTTCTAGGAATCTATCCATTTTTTTCTAGGTTGTCCAAGTTCTTGACATATAATTTTTTAATAACATTCTCTTATAATCCTTTGTATTTCTGAGTCAGTTATTTCTCTCTTTAATTTCTGATCGTCAACCAAATCCCAGTAAGTTATTTTGTAGATAATGACAAGGTGATACTAATGTTTATATGGAAAGGGAAAAGGCCCAGAATAGCCAACATAATAGAAGAACAGAGTTGAAGGTATTGTCTCTACTCAACTTCAAGACTTATTATAGAGCTGTAGTTTTCAAGACAGAGTGTTATTGGCGAAATAATAGAGAAATATATCAGTGGAGAAGAACAGAAAGTCCAGAAATAGACACACACAGATATCATCAACTGACCTGTAACAAAAAACAAAGGCAGTTCCATGAAGAAGGGATAGTCTTTTCAACAACTGGAAA